TATCGATGCGACCTGCATCGGCAGCTGGACTTTACCATAGGGGATGGGGGGTAGAGTTTTTGAAGCATACGCATAAGTTCGCCGCAGGGGAAGCAGCCCTCATAGCTGTGCTTAGACCTTGTCTTATTAATTCGCGTGTTGCATCTCCCAGAAAAGACAGTCAAGGCCATGTCAGTAGTTCATAAGTTGTAGGGCCCTGAATACTTAGCGAAAATATAAAATTTCCAATTGACTTTTGAGAGCTTAAAGTATTGAGTATCTTGAAGCATTGTTTGAACAACGCAAAACCCATTCCCTTTCCCGTCTTTTCACGTCCCCTTCCTTCCCCATATGACCGACTACTGCCTTGCACTTTGCCACCCCCTGTTTTTTAATCACGTTTGACAGGCTTTCACAGGAATCTGAACAGCCCTGCTTCGGTAACTACCCTTCCCTCCTCTCTCCTCCCCCCGCCCTTCCCCACCAAAATGTGCACCCGCATGTAAGACCAACAGTTCATTCTCCGTTTACCTATTAAATTTTAGCTTTCTAGGTCGATACTTAATTGGACAGTTTGTTTTATCCCATTAAAAGGCTATGACCGTATGCAGTGGAATAAGAGGTATCGAAATTGTACGACTTCATTAAATCCTGCAACCCTCGTTGCCTGAGGCACCCCAACTATTGCCTATGCAACAAAGTAAACTTGTCGTTGATTACTACGAACCATCTATCAAGTGCGCAAGGCTTAATAGAAGTCATTAGCGAGTTTCGTTTCGGTAGTACACTGTAAGCGCACTAAGTAATCAATTGGACACTATTATGCTTCTGCGTGGCCTCTGTGTTTTCCTCGAATAATATTCAAGATGTTCACTTGCGTACAGACGAGTCAGGAAATGCTTGTCGGTGATTTTGAACTCGGGTCGCTTGTAACATCACCGAATTGCCTTCACGGCCTCGACTATAAAGTGGGTACAAGGAGGAAGTAGGTGGACAGGTTCCTTTTAGGTGAGTATTAAATTTCCCAAGATTATAGTATATTCACAGAGCGAGAGGCTCAGTGCCTGATGGTTCAATTGTCCGAAGTATATCTGGTCAGACTTCACATTAACGATGACCTCCTATACGCCCCATCGGCTCGCAGAGTCAGAATCCAGAAGTTGGATTTGATAGAGGACGCAAACTCTGTTGACCGACTCGTTAATTCCTGACAATCACACCAGACCTCGGAGCGAGTCTAATGTGTTTGTGCAGATTGGCCGAGTGGTGGTCTGCGAGTCAGGCTGCAGTGCCTGGGGCCTCGGAATTGACAGTGAGGCCGACGGCTCAGCGCACATTTCCCACTATAAACAGTACGATGCCATTGAAACTATCACGGAGCGCTAAAATTCGTGGCTTGGAAGGTTGCCAACTGATGGGATAACTTGGAACACGCAGTCAGCCCAGAGGGTTTTTGTAGACCGGCCAACTGACTGGCTGAGAGTCATTCTGCAATGACTCCATCTTAATGTGGCCCTTGTGCCACTCCCACTCCGTGGTATCCGACTGAGGTGTGGCGGCACACTTGAGAGTGGTTCCAGTCTCGCCGGCCACCTGCATCCGATTTTCTAGACGTGGTCATGGCACCAGGCCCAATTGGGAAAGGGGAAGGTGTCGTAGATGCAACGCAGGTCTACAATCAGTATTATCTAATTGACACGCAAATCAACGCGCTTTCTTCTAGCCCGCTATGACCCACGCACTAGACATTGTCGAAACCAACCGTCAAAATGTCAGTTGAGTTCGAGTGAGCATCGGAGACCCGGCCTGATTGCGGAACGGCAAGTTGTTTGATCCTTTCACGAAGATTGGGTCGCTTGCAGGCAACCCTATAACACCAAGCTGAAACTAGACAAAAATCTGGTAGCGAGGATAGACAAAGTTAAATATCTATTTCTCAATTAGTATTCTTCAACCGGTTCTCTATCCAAATCGCAAACCCAAAGTATGTAGGAAATGAACCTGAAGCACCCTGTTTAATCCGAATGAAAGCGCAGCGTCCTTAGACTAGCGCTCCGTTGTCGGCTTAATCCCTCCAAAAACAGCCGTCATCATAAATCATTTCTTTTGGTATATATTTAATTAACGGAGCGGGTAAATAGCGAATTACGCTCAGCAGATTTGAACACTGATGTCCAGTAGGGGAAGAGGGAAGAATATGCATAATAGTTTTACTACATACGCGGCTTAAGAAGGGTGATCAAGTTTAAGAAAAACCAAGACAGTTGAAATCACAGCCTAAAAGTCAGAGCGATTGCGTGCGGAAGGGTATCATTTCTGCCACCGGGAGTTGGCCGCTGCCGATGGCAAGAAGGACTGTCGTGCTCGTTGCCAAAAGGATTGTCTCGGTTTTGTTACTGGGACCGAGCTGTCCATAGGTGGCGTTTTCGGGTCAAAGCTAGTCGTCAGAGTAGCGGACTTGACGACCGGTGCTGAAGCCACCACAGTTATCGCATCTTCTGTAGATTGTCCACGGGCTATGCTCAGGCGAAACATATTCAGAGGATTGAAACTCCTGCGCACATTAATGACATTTTCTAGTTTTCTAACGCCGCGATTACTACCACTTTTGCCTCCCGGAAGTGTGAAACTTCTGCCCTTTTCGGACTTCAACAACTTCGGCAGATCGATCGAGTGCTCGTCCTCACTGAGGAGAGGAGGCGGTCTGCGTTGAGGCACCGGGGTCATGGTGGAACAGGAGTGCATGTCCTCGAGGAGGGGTC